GCAGCTTCAGATGAAAGTGAAACAACAGGCGGTAGGGATGCCTGAAGCTGCCCGTGCTGATCTGTGAGTCTTGCAGCAAATCGCATTGTGTTTACCATCATTAACAACATCATCTGTGGCGATGGCGCCGTTGGCAAATGCTTTTGGGGGTTACCCCACCCATGTGCCTGCATGAAAATCATTCCCCAGCCATGGCTTTACTATGCTTTACTTTTTTTCGGGCATGTTTTTACCTAGGCATGGAGAAACCCACCATTTATACATGATTTCCATTGATATTCCTTGGAAACCCATCCTTTCCACACATCTACAGCAACCCCAACTAAAGTGCTACTAGCTCATGAAATGACAAAATATATTGAAATATATTCAAATATGAATGAGAACCTAATGTAAACATAAATAAACTATGATTTGTTAAGTTTGTATCTTTTTTGGGTTGCTGAACATGTTACATTGGAGGCGAACGTCTTCTTTTGGGCCTTTGTCCTCGTTGCCGACCACTAAAGCCCAGCGAGCATTCGGCTGCGGAGACACCGCTTTGGGATGAATCTCCTGCAGGACCAGTGACTGGGGGTCATGTTGCCTCCCTACATAGGGCTATACATGGCATGTCAATGGGTATACTTATACTGGAATTCGGAGTGGTAGTTTTTCTTGAGCTTGCCACATGATCGAAGTTTTTGGTCAAAGTTCTTGTTTTGACTTCACTCTGCGGTTGGGGTTGCCCAGCAATCTATGGCCTGTCCTCCGCCGCGTAAATGCCTGGGCACAACTACGGCTGCCACAGCTTCAGAATGACCAACAATGCAAACACACAGTGGCTAAAAGATGTGGAAAACAAAAACCTGGCTGTGGGATTTACATTCGTGCAATGCTCCTAGTTGATCATCCACACTTGGATAGATCTATCTGATATAATGACTGCGAAAGGGCTTGCACGGGCGGAGCTGACCCAGTTGCTTTCAGCAAAACCACGCGTGGAGGGAAAACTAACTTGGGCAACGAATCAAAATCATCAGATCAGATTTTATAGATAAAAGTAAGGTAGGTATTCGCAAGAGGTCAATCCATATATGATCACGCATACACATATCGCCTAGAATTCACTGAGGCTACTTCCAACCCATCCCAAATTCCATCCATTTTGGGTCTGCTTTGGAACCACGAGAAGGTGCTATCGTCCTCAAAATGTTTGAAGCGCGTCTCTCTGTACAAATGGGCAAAGTCCTCCTCGAAACCCTCCTCGAAGGCAGGCTGGGCGTTCCAATACCTGCGCTGGGGCCGCGACTGGCGTCGGTCCCACAAGGACTTGAGGTGTTGATGTAGAAGGGCGAAGGGGCTGCAGGAGAGGTCCGTGGAGTACCAGTTGAAGAAACCTGAAATATGTTGAAATGTCGGGAAACCCAACCCGAAACCATGGACAATTACTGGAAAATCAATGAAAATATACGTAAGTTGGATATAAGTTGGATGTAAGTTGGATGCAAATTGGATGCTCCGAATTAGTTAATGGGGAGAAAATCATGCCATTTAAGTTGGATGTAAGTTGGATGCAAGATGTGGCTATGACCTTCAAAAATTGTTGAAACCCAGCAGGCGGAAACAGCTGTGTAGCTCCAGCTGATGCTTCATGTGCCATAATTTCTGCGGTTCTTCCACCAAAGACAGCAGGTAATCATACAGCGCCGATCTGCTACAGTCTTCATCATCACAGATGCGGCTTTCAGGCCACTTGATCGAGAAGTTCTCCCAGGGAAGGTCATTCATGAAGGCCAACTCGTATTCATCACTGAGAATCACGGGGATGCAGCCCGCCTTGGATCAAAAATGGCCCAAACATTCCGAAAGACCTCAAAACATTCCGAATAGATTCACCAAATATCACCAAATAATGGTTAATGATGGCTAATGATGGTTAACTAGATTGGTCAACCGTTGAATGGGACCATGCTGCACCAAATCCAAGCAGCATAGAAGCTCTCGTACAAATGGTTGGTCCAGGGGCTGGTGCCAGCCGGGACCAAACAGAAATGGCTGTCACCTTTCCGTTCCAAGTAGTCCCCCACAAAGCCTCCGATGTCAACCTAGCAATCACGCCCTCAGACCGACACTCTCAGCCAAAGCGCTGTACTATGCCATCCTACTATCCTATGTTTTATTGTTTTTTTTGGCATAGTCGTAGTTGTTCCATGTCTGTTCGGGCAAACTAAGCAGATTCCGGATTCCTCATGAAGATAACCAAATGGTGGCTTTTTGGACCATCATCTTTGATTTTTGAAATATTTCCTCTACATCCAATACAGCGCTGTGGTAAACAAAATGACAAACCGCATGCTTTGTGTCCTACGAAATCGTCAATTTGGGTACAGTATGGTCTAGTAAGTTTGGCATATAAATGCATATAATATATCAAAATATGTTTTAAAATATGTCATATTGTTTTTGCACATTTGTGGTCTGTCAATTCCATGGGCTCAAAACTCTGGCACCTCCCCATCTTTCCATGATCATTTCCAAATTCGTTGTTCAATGGGTCAACGCTGTGCTATTTTGTGATCATATGCATAAGCCACCTTTTCAAATGTACTACAGTACTTCACAAAACATTGGTTACCTTGTCGTTACCTCTGTATTCATGAACCAAATGTTGTTCCAAGGTTTCTTGAAATAACTAATCTAACTAAGAGCCAAATATATTCTCGTTAAGACAAGAGCTGCTAAGGAGCTCCATTCTCTGTCAAACAGTCAAGACATGATTATCATCCATCTTTATAGGAATATATATATATATCATGAATTATATGTTATTTATATCATAAATTAAATAAGTATATATATATGTATCATGAATTTCACACACACATATATATATATCATATATTAAATACTTATATATATATGTATCATATATTATATATTAATACATATTAAGACTATTTTAATGTATTAATACATATACATATTACATATTGTGATAATTGATGAACAAAACAGCTATGGTTCAAATATGTTCAAATTATATAATCTCCTTTAGAAACACCAAGAACCAAGAAACTCCATCCATCAATCCATTCTACAACCCCCCTAGATTTCCAGGGGGTCATTGGGGGAGCATAGTTTCTTGGAAAATCATTCCCCACTGTGGATGGAAGAAATCCTGCACCACATTAGATGGTTGAAACCCTATGCCCTAGGAATAATGGGATGTTTGCCACCTATCAACTGGCGCAGGATTTCGCAACCATCCACTATCATCCACTGTATGTTCCTCCGCTCTCTACATTTACCCTCTGGATCCCTCTGTAATTTAACATAGCTATTGAACATGGCCTATAAAAATAGTTGATTCACCTATTAAAGATTGTGATTTTCCACAGCTATGTTAGTTTACCAGAGGGTATCGCTCAAGAAACTCCATCCTGCAGATTCCGCGTCCGGCTGAGTTTCATCAGTTCCCCGCGTACCGCGCAGTCGCCATAGGCCTCGTGGATCAGCGGCGCACGGCCGTGGAAGGTCAGCAGCAGGCGCCGCTCGGCGGAACGCTTGTTGTGACGCTTCATGTATTGGATCCGCGCATAGTCCTCGGGTTTTGAACGCAAAATGGGAAGAACATATACCTTGGGGAAACCATGGAACACACATAAAAACAACATGTCGAAAAAATGCCGCACATTTTTTTAAAAGAAAAGATGCTGATGATTGGTTTAAAAGACATGTTTTGGCCGCAGTTTCTATATATTCGATTGGGGCTGTAGGTACGTCACCAAAGATGGACATGATCTTGCATCTATTGTTCTGTCGGTTGATCGTTTGTGGTTTCAAGAATTGTGTTCTACCTTTGGGGTGATTGATGGTCTCCAGCAGCTCAATCTCTTGAGGATTGAAATTATCAGCCAGGTATGTAGCCAAAGGATGCCCGTAAGAAGAACTAGGAACAAAAATTCCTGTAGTGGATTCAATATTCACTTGGATGTTGACGTTTGGGATGGGCTGAAGCATGTTAGAACATGTTAGAACCACCAAGCAGTCTTCTTTGATAGGATCGGCCCTCGGGTTGCCCCTTTCCAATCCTTTCCATCCAACTCACGGTAAGAGCATCTCTTTCAACCGGATTTCTTGATCTTTTGGCCCCCCCCAAAAAAAAACACGTATGCCATCGTATGCCGTAAGACCAAAAAATGTCCAAATAAACTTCATTTCATAACAAGACTCATCTCCAAAAACCCAGCTCCACAGTTCCAATGAGCTCCGCCCTGTCAACTTCATCCCCATCATGGTTGGTTAATATCCCAGCATTCATCATGGCAAATTACAACATGTCACTAACATGAAATAAATCTATTTTGGGATGGTTTCCTCCAAATTCACATTCCACTCAGGTCGCAGGTCGCAGGTCAGAATTTTCTCAGATTATGGCCATTCTATACCATTCTATGAACTCCCCAACTCCCCAAAAATCTCACATTTTTCCCAAGGGTCCGTGTGCCCAGGGATCACCAGATCCTTCCAGCTGGAGAGACAGTGTTTCACGTCCACGTAGCGTCGCAGCGGCTCGCCCCAGGTGGGACAGCGGCTCTCCGGAGATAGAAACACCGCGGAGCTGCGCAGCAGGTCGTAGCCTCGATGACATGGGGGGCATTTCCAAAGGTGACCACATTTGGAAAAATGAGGGGCTTCAGATGTATTTCACCCAAAGGAAATATAGGAAATGATATAAAATTGAACTTTAGTTAGATTCAATCAACGGACATATGATGATTTTAGATGATTGTGGATACTAAGGGTCTACAAATCGTTTATTAACCCTCAACAACCACCAATAAGAGCGGGGGGGCATGTCTGTGGGCACGTTGAACCGTTGAACCCACATGACGGTTGATTGATTGAACCTCCGCCAGCTGGCCCCCTAGTGGTATCTGACATGTGTCACAGGGGGTGATCATCCAAAATATATCTAAAACGAAAAATTATATGCAAAAATCTGCCAAACGAAAAATTATATGCAAAATTATCATCATTATGCAACATATGGTAAACATATGTAAAAATGAACCAATCAGACCAATCAGTGGCTGTCCCAAATGCGTGGACCTTGCCCATCTGCAAAGAGGAAAATGTGATCGGCGCCATTCAAGCGATGAAAATACCGCGACTTGCGGAGGAGGTCCATCATGGGGTCAAAGATAAAGCGGTTAGAGACCTCATCCATGTTGAGGATGAGGTCCTCACTGACATTTTCGTTCAGCTTCACGTAGAGGCAGGTGGCGTGAAGGGGCACGTAAAACCAATCGGCCGCATCAGGATCGGCTGTCTTGCAATTGTGGCGAAAATACTGGTGCAACAGCACTTCGGTACCCCATTGCCCCTGCAAGCATTCAAAGGTGCCACCATAGAAGTTTTTGGGAAGATCATACACGAAGAAACGCTGACCCAGGCAAACTTCTTCCATGTCCTGCTCATCCTCAGGTGGCTCATAGTCCAGTAATTTTTGCAGGTTGATGTATCAAGTTGTCATTCCTTTAACTCTATACAAATGGAAATAAATAAACCCATTTGCCAATCCTTCAGATGTCAGGTGTCCGATGAAACAGTTAGAGAGGAGCCATGACCCAAGGACCCAACAAATGACGGTTTCAAGTTTAAAAGGTTGATTTTAAAACAGCCTGATGCATCTGATACAGAACGTCAGCCAAGCTTCGGACAAAGCAGAATTTGGACCCAAACGTTGCACATCCAGAAATTTTGGATAGACATAAGCAATATCCGCATTCCACTCCAGCATAAGTTTTTCAAGCTGCTCCTTCCTATGGTCATCTGGAAGCTTGGCAAACAGCCTTAGTTGGCGATAGCAACACAAATTTTCAGAGCCCATCCGGGCAGGGCAAAAGCCAGTTGCCTCATGTACTGATTTTTGGAATTACACTGGCAAGATTGCCCTTCCTTAACCTTTGGCTTCCACGTGGGCAAGAGTTCAGAAGTTCAGCCTCAGAGTTGTGATTGATAAGCTGCCCACTTTGATGTTTTCCCTTCCCACTCCAAGGATCTCCGAGCGGTTCAAGAGGGAGCTCAGCACTTTCCACGCACGCGCACAAATGGATCATATAGAAATATATTGCATATATGATAAATGGGACAAAGATAGAAGCTTACCCAACCGGAATGCAAGCACCCAGAAATCACAATACTCGGAGTTCTCAACTGACTCTGTGACGGTTTTGGCTCTCAAATGTGAACAAACAATGCCCAAGGAGAAAACAAAAGCAGGAAACCGGGACATGTTGCTATTTGTGGTTCTTTGCCTGACAACAGCCAGTGCACTCCGCAAACAAACACGACAACATCTCCCAAATGTTGTTCCCCCGTTCAGCCAAGTACTTGATTGATGATCTTCCAAGGATGCCATTTTCATCCATTTTCACCCGGTGATCCAAGCCATCTGACCTAGCAACTCCTCGCGAAGCTGATAAATGTAAAGAAGAAATTCTCGAGCAGCTTCACGGCCATTTTCAGTCTCGATTGCCAAAATGCCTTCCAACACACCGTCGATGAAAGATTGGCTTGTTTTTGGGGGATGTTGGGGCTGCAATCACTGACAGCCCAAAAGTATCCAAAAGTAATGTCTAAAAACCCGCTAGAAACTGCGGGTGCACCCGCCCCTGGGTTGCTCTACCGACCCCAGGATTCCAAATGCAAACAACATAAAGAAAGATTAAAAAGGAAAAAGAGAGAGACAGTGACAAAGTGAATGGCTTTTTAGCTGGCTGCAATTCATCATGATTTCCAAGACAGCCGCTGGGCAGAGGTTCAAGGCTTGGCCAAGCCGTGGTTCGATCTGCAGCTGATAGATTTCGTCCCGGAAGTGCCTGTGGAACAAGATCCGGCCCCCAGCTCCTTAACTGGCAATGATTAATGGAGGAGGGAAACCCTCTGGTAGTCCAGCATGGTTCAATGGACAGATATGGACAGATATGGACAGGTCAGATCCTACACCTTGAAGAGAAATAGAAATCCAAAATGTCCTGAACATCACTCGAGTGGATGATTTGCCCATTAACGTGGCAAATTCCATTACCTTTCCATCGCTGGACTTGGTTTTTGCCCAAAACGTTAGCAGGGAAAATCCTCCTAGATCCTCAAAACTCACAATCCAAAAGGATGTCGGTAGTGAGGGATTTCACTTTGAATTGTTCCCGGACCACTACTTAAGTGTGTCGTGCCAACATGCCAAGTTCTTGTACAAACCCAGCATGGCATTCCATTTCTCTTTGGAAGATATTAAAGTTAAGAGTTTGAAAGCAGCTCGATCTATAGGGGAAAAACGGCTAGTGAGCTTCTAGTGATATCAAAAGTTATGAAGGCGAGTCAGTTGCTCATGTCTCTTTCCATTGTGCAGGGAACTTAAAGGTAATTATATACGACTAATTATGAAAGTTGGGTTATGGTATGGCGCATCTTTCTGTGGTTCTAACAGTTCCAACGCATACAATTGAAGTGTCAAAACACGTCACAACCCAGTCCAAGCTACTACCGGTACCTATTAACAATGAATTGCATGGCATTGTAGTCACAAGACCGGATATTCACAGGTCAAGTAATCACCAAACACCGCACTGCCCGGCCCGAGCCTGGAAAGCGCCAGGTTGTCTCGTCCATATCTGGAAAGGGTGCGTCACTTGGGCAATTTCTTGGGGTGGTTTTATACCTATGACCTATGAAATGTCAACAAAAGGAAGATGGCCCCATAGTTTCTGCTATTGTTTTGGGGCCGTTACACTTCACCTGCGTGTGTGCAGCTGAACTGCGCCGAAGAACATTTTCTGGCACATCATCCGTATTTCTCGCCCACAACGTGCATCAGCAAAAAAACAGTTAAAATCCAGGAGATATCTGCCCCCACCTCTTTTGCCAGCTGCCAAGGGTGCGGAAGTATTCCGGCTGCAGCTCTCCAACTTCCGCTTCGCATTCCACCGGAGAGGGGGCGTCATTCTCGTACTTCCTGCCGCGGAAGATTTTCGGAATCACCGCAGAGCCGGTGGCTCGTGGAAGAAGTGGCATGGGGGACGTTGGGGCGCATGGAGTTCCATTCATGACGCATTGGCAGTGGATATGTTTAGCAAAATGGGCACGAAGATCACCATTTTCATCGGCAGTTTGGAGAAGGGAGAATAACTATGATTCTGGGTGGCGGGCACAACGGGATAGAATGGCAACTATACCAGGAAATTTGAAGCATTCTGATTTGACTTCATCCCGATCAAAATTGGAGTTTCGTCCAAAATGAAGGGTAGCCCAAAATAGCCATCTATAGTCATCCAAATAATGATGAACCATGGGTACACCCTACTGTTGAATAAACCATTGGCAACCACCAGCTGGTGACTGTCCCATCCCTGGCTCTCCCATCTGCATCAAACCAAGTCTCGTAGATGGGCACAGTTCATGTGTGCAGTCTGGCAATGTAGGGAGGCCACTCACCAGCAGAGTTGAGGCCAGTGATAGCAGCGCCATGGCGACAACGACCCATGATGGTGTTTATTTTGCGTTTTTGGGCTGTCCCAAGGTGGGAAGGTTCTCTTTAAACAGCACTACTACCAGTTCCAACATCGCTGCGGCTAGGTTAGCCAAGTGCAAGCTGCGTATGTTGTTGACAGCTCCCAAGATTCAAAGTCATTAAGTGGTACCCCGGTTGACTTATGATAAGCATGGATTGGATTGACGCATGATTTTTGCATCAATTGAGTATTACGATTGAGCACATCACTTCAAGCCTCTTAAGCCAACTCACATGCCTGAGTTGCCCAGGCTCTCCCAACTCCCGTTTCCGACACAGAAATAAAACCACTATACATTCGAGAAATCAACCCTTAGTGTCGATTTATCAAAGAATTTCTAAATAAATAATGCATATATATATATATAATTACATATATACATATCTATACATATATACATATATATATATACAAAAACATAAACCGAAAACAAGTTTGCCAATGTAAAATCCGACGGGTGATAATTTGTTTTCTCTGTTTTTTGCGGGGTTACCACAACCCCAACGAAACTGATAAACATAAATTTTAGATGCCTTATGATGATACCTCATGTAATTGCATAGTAGTTGTGGATAAAAACCTTGGCACCCTTTTGTTCACATCGAAATAACTGGCACATATTCATCCCTCCCAATATGATCAATATGGCAATATATGATTACAGCAGGTTGTGACCTACCCCCCATCATATACACAAATCATATATCATAGTGTTGGCCATACATACCATTCATAACCCACTAAATCACAAGTTTAAGGATTAAAGACCATTCATAGTTCTATCCTCCCAAAAACCCTAGTTATTTGCATCAACTCAGCCATCGTGTCACATCCACCTGGCACCCATCCGCCGGGCCCGGGCAGATCTGGGCCCGCTTCAGCGAGCGCAGCGCCACTGGCAGGTCTTCTGCCAGATGGAACTCCGCCTCGTAGAGCCTGGGACCACTGGGAAGACCATGGAGAAGTCCTAAAAGTGATATACCAGGGGACATGGATGTAATTGATTATCAACCAACAAAAATGCTCATAGGTACAGGTATAACGGATAGCTTAGTTAATCTGGATAAGCATGGTTGCCCTTCGGCGACTTCAAACATGGCTGAACACTGGAAATCCTTCAAAGAAAAAGGAGGTTGTAATGGAACATATCGGAGATCCATATTGGTGACATCTTACAACTGGTTTGTTTCACCAGTTTTGTAAGTGGTTATGTATGTTATGTCATGGATTAAGCTCACATGGTCCACAGTTTCACGAATGATTCGGGTGATTGGGAGAACTTCGTTTGTATCATGTGATAAATGTGTTAAGCGAGAAAATGTCTTTTAGCCCCCCATATGCACCAGGGAGCAGGACCCTTCTCTCTCTCTCTCTCTCTCTGTTTGTGGTTTGTGAACTGAAGTAAATGTCATCCATTTTCATTCTTTTCATTTGGCTCAACAAGGCCATCCAACATCGGAATCACTTAACATCAAACACCAACACACAACTTGAAGAACTCCGCAGTTCGAAGGTCGGGTTTGCACGGTTTGTTGCACGACGCGCACAATGGCACCCCCTAAGTCTCAGACCAGCCCTGGGATGCGTGGCAGGCGCGACCGTTCAGGCCTTGGCGTGATTCCGTGAGATATGCCATGTGTCAAAAGATGGTATAGAACGGAACATCCGATTTTCTAAGAGGCACTGCAAATCATGATAAAAAGAGGGTATACGGTATATGTTTTGGAGATGTTTGGCGTATGCCTAGGCCTATGAAGATTAACCAAAAACGAGATGAACACCGTAGTTTCAGCACCGGTCAAGCAGCCGGTCGAACCCCTCATTTATGCTCATCCATCCCACAAGCGGAATCCGTATGGTATGTATATATATATATATATATCATATATGTTTGGAGTGGACTAACAACTGCAGCTGGCATCGTTGCTTCGGCTGGACACACGGAAAAACCAAAAGGAGGCTCCAGCGAAGCCGGGACTCATGGAAAAACCAAAAAGAGGCTCCAGTTGAATGCAAGGCAGCTGCTCGTCTTTCCAGTTTCGTGGCGGGCCCAAGGCTCAGGCTTGCGCTTCGCTCAGCACCAGCACCAGGATTGCATCCCAGCGGCCCAGCGGCGCCGAAAAGCGCCAGGTGAACACTCCAGAAGTCGATCTTCAGGCGGTAGATCGCCAAACACTGAATCTAGCAACAGGACGAACTCGTGGTCATGAACTGATACGTGCTGAGTCCGTCCACCGCCTCTGAATCTAGTCTTCGGTTTCAGGATGCGTAAATATGCAATCCCACCGTCTTCGCTCAACATGTCGCGTGGCAGAATCAGATCCTTCCGAAATGCTGCAAGTGGTTCGCCGGGTCTGGCAATTCCCAGGAAACCAAATGTCAAGATGCCGGCGAAACATCGCCACTTCCAACCCAGCGCTACTCCAATCATCGCTTTGAAAATCGAAAAAGGCAATGGGCCCGATGGACAGTGGACTCCATCATTTCCCACCTTGACACCATCGACCAGCATATAAATATATATATACTCATATAGGGCTTGGCCATGGCGAAGTTCTGCTGCAGAAAGACGAGTAAGTGCCGAAAAACAAACAACGACTTTCCAGAGGAGTAAAGGTGGTTGCCATATTTTCTGGCCAGGTAAACAAGCAGCGCAGGTTGTGCCATGGCTGAACTAACGGCCCCGCTACTTAGAGATTTACGCATCCACTCTGAAAAAGCTTCCCAAACCCTGTCCTGAATCTCGATGGCCCTCGCTTCGACCAAAGGAACATCAGCAAGGAGCCCAGAGCGCAACTCCCCTCATGGCCGGCGTGGCCCAGAGCGCGAGGCTTCGCCAATCCTCATAGTACCTGCCTTTGCACATGACGCTGGGTCAAAGGCTCTCTCCTCTTCTGCCAAGCGCGCCTTCATCGCAAGGGCTCGCACAACCACTCTTGCAACTCCTGCAGGGTATGCCTGCACAACAAGGGTCCAAGACATCTTATGCTTTTTGGATCTACCTTGAAAAAATTGATGCTTCTGGCAGCCAGTGCACAAAGTTCTGAAACCACCTGGCGCAGTGTTGGTGAAAAATGTTGTCCGCTTTCTCCACTTAGTCCCATATACCGGCAGTAATCAACTAATCAAGCTTTTATCTCAGGCCAGCGCTCTAAATCTTCTGCCATTCTGGTAACTTGAACATCCATGAAGCTGCAGCATTTTCAAACCAAATTGCAAGTCCTGCTTGCAATGCCACCTCAACCAAAGAGAAAAACCAGAGTGCCATATCGTTCCCAGCATCTACTTTCACCCGCATCTTCTCACTGATCGAGCGCTTATAAGGCTCATCTCCACTTCTAACAGGTGGTCGGACAGCCATGGAAAAACTAGCACAAACTGGTCCCCCTCGAACAAAGCAGCCAAGCCGGATCAGGCGTTCCAGCTTGCTCCGCAAAACAGGGTCATCCAAATCCTGCGCTTGTGGACGAGGTCAAAACAAAGACTCCAAGTGCAGTAATTTGCTAGTTGCTTCGCAATTCCCCTTTCGCCAGAATAGGGGTCGAGGAACCCTGCACACCCACCTCCATCTCCTTGGCCGCCAGACCCTTCTAAAAGAACACCTCCACCCTCTTCGTCGACCTCCTCTTCTTCCTCGCTTTCGCTGAGAGGACGTTTGCGCACCTTCGCTGGAACTTTCTTCCGAGGCAACTCCTCTATCCTTCTGGGCGCGAGATTGCCCACATCTCCACAACAACTAGGAGATTGCCGTCCATGTCGGCAACTGATACAATGGCTTCTTGAGCAACAACAAAATCTCGTTGCCCAAGTGCCACTTCCGGCCCAATCACTTCGCTGTCAGGATCCGGGCCGGAAAGAGCCTCACCGTCAACAGACAGTTGACTCATACAGAATCTCTAAGCTCGCTGGTCTGATCACCTCGTCGGTCGACCCTCAGCATCAAGCAGTTCTTCTCGAAACAGTCGAACCTCGTCTCGCAACCTGCTGTTCTCACCTTCAAGTCCAGTAGTATGAGCTGGCCTGCTCATTCATGCAACCACCTTGTGAAATGGCCGAAAGGTTTCACGTGGCTGTCTTGCACCACGCCGCTGCTCTTGTGAGAAGGCCCGGGAGATGAGTCGCCGCCACCTAAGACGGATCAGGCTCAAAAGGCCAATCAGGGGCCCAATCAGCACGCCAAAACACCCCAGCAGCAAATGTCCACAGTGGAATATCCTCGAAGGCCAATTCAAACTGAGGGCAATGGAGAGGCGGTTGAAGTGGAGGTGGATCAATGAATGGTTCCTGAACAAAGGTTTTTAAGAGAGCTAATATCAGAGTGGATGCAACTCCGCTAGAAGAACCTAGTGCCACAGGCCGATCCATTCACCTTTGAGACAAAGAGCTGCCCAGTCACACATCTGCCTTGTTGATGGATTGATGACCATCCCTAAGTATGGGTATATAATCAAAGTTTTGATATATTTTGACCATAGCACAGATGAAGCGGCTTCCCATGATGGGTTGGGATATGCTTCAGACTCACCAAGCATCCCGGCAATTAAAACTGGCCCGAGTCAAAATCACCGACGTGATGCCCAACAAAACTGCGCTCCTCAAACGGCGATTGAAACTGCACTGACACATGGTGAACATCTTTGGGAACATCTTTGGTGTGAGACCTCATGCGTTTCGTGTTGCCAACCTAGATCAAAAAAATATCCGTATCAAAAAAAATATCATAGTAGTAGTAGTAGTAGTGGTAGTAGTAGTAGTAGCAGTAGTAGTAGTAGTAGCAGTAGTAGTAGTAGTAGCAGTAGTAGTAGTAGGAGTAGTAGTAGTTGTTGTTGTTGTAGTAGTAGTAGTAGTTGTTGTTGTTGTATAGTTGAGTAGTAGTAGTAGTAGTAGCATCAGTAGCAGTAGCAGTAGCAGTAGCAGTAGCAGTAGCAGCAGGAGTACTAGTAGTAGTAGCAGTAGTAGTAGTAGTTGTTGTTGTAGTAGTTGTAGTAGTTGTAGTTGTTGTAGTAGTTGTAGTAGTAGTAATAGTAGTATAGTAGTAGTAGTAGTAGTAGTAGTAGTAGTAGTAGTAGTACTAGTAGTAGTAGTAGTAGCAGTAGTAGTGGTAGTAATAGTAGTAGTAGTAGTAGTGGTAGTAGTAGTAGTAGTAATCGTAGTCCCAGTAGTAGTAGTAGTAGTAGTAGTAGTAGTAATCGTAGTCTCAGTAGTAGTAGTAGTAGTAGTAGGTGTAATAGTAGTAGTAGTAGTAGTAGTAGCAGTAGTAGTGGTAGTAGTAGTAATAGTAGCAGTAGTAGTAGTAGTAGCACTAGTAATACTAGTGGTAGTGGTAGTGGTAGTGCTAGTGGTAGTGGTAGTAGTAGTGTTTGTTGTACCAGTAGTAGTAGTAGTAGCAGTAGTAGTAGTAGTAGTAGCATTATATAGTAGTAGTAGTAGTAGTAGTACTAGTAGTACTAGTAGTAGTAGTAGTAGCAGTAGTAGTGGTAGTAATAGTAGTAGTAGCATTATATAGTAGTAGTAGTAGTAGTAGCAGTAGTAGTAGTAGCAGTAGTAGTAGTAGTAGCAGTAGTAGTAGTAGCAGTAGTAGTAGTAGCAGTAGTAGCAGTAGCAGTAGCAGTAATGGATATTAATAAAGATTAAGAAAGAGAAGATGAACCCAAAGAAACGATGTTTATAAAACAACGGAACGAGAGTAGGTAGCAAGGGAAACCGATTAAAAAATAAAAGCGGGTGGGGGGGTGCAGGGTGCGCCATCCATATGATAAAGTATTAAATCAGCCTGCCCCTGCTGTGAAAATCATGGAAAGCAAGCAACAGTGTTAACATCTCGGGTCTAAGCTTTGAAGCTGATTCCCTAATTTCGCTTAGTGGCAAGATATGCCTGGAAGGCAACATCCATCATGTTTCGCTATTTAGCAGATTTTTCAATATTCGCGTAGTTTAGGCTTTCGATGCATGATAAAGCACGGTCATGATAATGCATTTGACGGTGAAACTGCTGCGGCCGCAAGCTGCAAGTGTTGACTGCAAACATGGTCCTTCCTTCCTTCCTTCCTTCCTTCCTTCCTTCCTTTCGTCCTTCCCTCCTTTCCTCCTTGCCTCCTTCCCTCCTTCCCTCCTTACTTCCTTGCTTCCTTTCTGCCTTCCTTCCTTCCCTCCTTTCCTCCTGTATGGTCATTTATTTTTTTTTGATGCTTCTCCCCTTTGGTGGAATGTGTCGGACATCAATTGCCCGCGTTTATACGGCCCAACCTCCGTCCGCCATCTGATGGGACTATGCTGGACTAGTTCCATCCATTGCGAACCAACGGTCTCTCCTCATCACTTGGCCCAAGTTCTGCGCGGACCTTGGAGACGTCGTGGCCCGAAAAATAAGGAACAATAATGGTTAATCATGGTTCATAATGGCTAAAAAATGGTTGATCATGGTTAATGAATGGTCAATCACTGGGCCCGAAGCACTGGTCATTTTCGATTTTTTATTAATGTTTCTTGTTTTCACATGTTTCCCCGCTCTTGACCCATGCACACTTGGTATGATTTGGTGCCCATGCCCACACGGGTGCCGGACACCAAACCATCCAACACCAGGAAGGGTGCCGCCATCTGTTCCAACTCGCAGGACCTGCCATACAGATCAGACAGTACCCTAGACATATTATTGCCACCGTCTCCCTTTCCAAAAACGACCAATAAATTATCACACAAAGCAATCCTATAAATTACGTGTTCATATGCTTTTTCTACTTGTTGGGGTTACACTCTCGAAGTAAATCGTGGGGCACATCGGATGTCCTGAAGTCTGCTGGCATGGCACCTTTGCTTCTTTTTGACAAACCGTGATAGAATTTGAACAAGTCTATCTGTGACATTGGGAGTTGTGATTTCATGCAAATTTTGAACCTAACAATGCTGTTTTGAACCGTGAATAAATATATATATATTCATTCATGTATATATTTAATATTTATGTTTATTATTTCTTTATTTATGCATTGTGAGATTAAAAAACCTGTACACAATTTTCCAGCCAGGAGGCCAAACGGAAAGGACATCGTTGTGTCACAATCAGATACAATCAATCAGCACGCTTAGGGCTTAGGGTCCCATGGTGAGGTACACTTCCCTTTTTCTTTAACATGCCAACTTTCCAATGGTAAATCCCTGCCGTCGACGCGTTGAGGCCCAACATCACTGCAGACAACACGACCCCAGTTTCGCGTTGATCATTGGCAAGGACAAGCACTGCTGCAACATCTTGCCCCAAGTGTTTCGCAAATCTTGATAAACGCATGTAATATATACATACATGTTTATACATCTGGATCGTGTTCGCCGCCGAAAAGCGAAAACCCCTTAGCCAGCCTTAGCCTTGAGTTTAGGAACCATCTCGTTTTCACACACTGAAAATGGGACAGATTTCAAACCACCCAATAGCAGCCATGAAAGTTGGTAAGCGGAAACGCTCAATTCGCATGCGATTTACATAGATTTACCATGTGTTTATACCCAGTATAAGTGGAGATTCTTCATGGCTTAGACTTGGCGCAATGTGACGTGCCTAGGCCAGGCGATCGCGTAACGCACAGGCTCTCCCCAGGCAACGTCCTAGAAAATTGGATGGATAAGGGGAGGGTAGACCCCAAACGAAAGCTGATCTGGTTTGTAACTTGATCAAGGTCATACTGTCATACCGATGAATTGTAAATTAATGCAAAGTATGGTCTAAGACGTGTTTTTCTTTCATCTGTTGCTGCTGATGGGCGCAATTCTGATACACATGATTGTATGTATGATAACGATCTTCTAAATGGGTCGCTACCAAGCCATGTTTTCTGCGCATTAATTTTTCAATGGGGGGAAGAATCAAAATGATCAAATTCCTGCTGGATGCCTGTGGGGCCGCAGAAGTCAGGGATAAGCAAATAGTGCCAAAACAAGCGAAAACATGCCAAAACGTGCATTGGACTACCATGGGTTGATAGTGTTTGTTTTGCGGGGGTTGATGTTACGTATAAAGTCGCAAGGTTGCTCGTCGCAGCAGGTACCAAGATTGCAAATCAATTTTCAAAGAGTGATGTTCAACAAAAAATAGATAAAGATCGATGGATAAAATATGATAAAATATTGCATATCAAAGGTCAATATGACTGCGTACGTACTTCTCTGTGAAACCGGCTGGCTTGAGTGATGTCATCGCAGGTTTTCTAATGGCGGAGGTCACTGCAAATGATGGATTGGCTGCGTACATTTTGGTAGTTGTGGCCCACGCAATGCCAACGAATTGTCCTGTATCTTTCATCATGCTCAACAATGATTTCGAAAGTAAACTACTGCTTGGCACCATCGGGCAATAGAGAATGCCTTGTTGGCAGGTGATTCCGAGATTCCTTGATATTCCTTACTTCACATTGCCACATTACGGTAAACTGCGAAAGTCTCCAGACACTCTCCCCAGACACTCCCTGCAGTGTCCATGCAGAATTCGTCCAGCAAGTGGGGTGCCAATAAAAGAACATCTCCAGAGCAAATATCACACACCTTCGAAATCAATTTGCGCAGATTGCTGCTTGGAGGAAAACTAACTGCCACAATGCTTGGCAATCCCACGCTTTGCATTTAGCATCATGGCCCTGCCTCGTGACACTAGCAGTGACCACAATTCATACCAGAAAAAAACATAACAACAATCAAGTTGTAGCCCCCAATATGATTTTACTTTCCCCTTATTGAGGCTAGATGACCAGTCATATTCCCCGCAAGTTGGCTCCACGGCCGGCACATTTTCTTACCATGTCCAGAATTCCTTGCTGTCAAAATTCGACATTGGAATTTCCAATGGGATGCCTCATGCATCCAGCTTGTCAGCACCTTGTGGGTAGTGATGTTGCTGATGGCAAAGCCATACTGTTTAGGGTTTAGGATGCTGCAGCGCTGATGGCCAAGCAATATTGCTTAGGGTTTAGGATGCTGCCCATTGCAGCGCTGATGGCAAAGCAATACTGTTTAGGGTTTAGGATGCTGCCCACCACAGTGCCGATGGCAAAGCAATGCTGTTTAGGGTTTAGGATGTTGCCCATCGCAGCGCCGATAGCAAAACAATAGACTGTGTGTGTACAGTACATATAAAAGGCCGGGGCTGCTGGACTGGGCCTGGGGACTGAGCCTGGGGCTGGGGGGCGCTGAGGGGGTTGGGGGACTAGAGGCCTGGGGGGCTGGCTGGCTGAAGGGGGGGCTGGAACTGGGCCGGGCTGGCTACTTGAAAATGCTTTAAAAGCAGCAATTTTCCAAAAGCAGAAAAGAAACAGAAAAAAAAAACAGAAAAGAAGCAGAAAAAAAAACAGAAACTGAAGCAGAAACAAAAAGGAAAATGACTTTGTTTTTTTTGTGTTTTTTTGTGGTATGAATTGTGTTTGTTTTTGGTGTTTTTTTCTGGTATGATTTGTGTTTTTTTTATTTCTTTTGTGATATGAATTGTGTTTTTTTGTGGTATGACTTGTGTTTTTTTTTTTCCATGGTGTTTTTTTTGTGGTATGAATTGTGTTTTTTTTTGGTGTGTTTTTGTGTTTTTTTTGTGCTCGGGAGCGCCCGAAAAGCACCAAAAAATACACAAAAAATCAGCATTTCTTTGGCAAAAATGAAACTCAGACCGCCTGACCTCGACAGCCTTCGGATCAGCGGCCCAGCAAATGTCTCACACCATTTCCTTTTTCCAACCTCCTTTCCAAAAGAATCTTTCAGGAGTGAGCCCATGCCAGGAGCGGGAAAGTGAAAAAATGTAATTATCATATGCTGTGTATTGAGAACCTCAACAACTATTGTTGGAGGCACGCCTTTGTAACGCTTATATTATAACTTATAACTTACAATGGTTGGACCGTTTGATTGCGGTATCTCGGTATCTCAGGTGTGCTGCGATCAAAACTGTAAAGGTTGTCATTATATCATATCATCATCTCGATACAACGCCTTGCATCATCATGCCATATCATTGCCATTGCTATTTGACATGCAAATATTAAGATAAACATGGACATGTCAGCTGTCATACTTTTCAGAACCATTCCAACTTTGCAGCCATCAAAGGAGATCAACACCAACATCGATACTTTGATTTTGGCTAGTTGGTGACAAGTTCAGCAAACATGTGCTGATGGCTCCAACAGTATGGAGCAATACAAACGGATGTTCGTTAAAATGATGAATATGATTTAACCATAAACAATGCCACCTCAAGAGGTAGTGATGTTGTTGCATTCACTACTCCACCCTTTGTTACTTGTACGGCCCACCTAGATCACATTTTCTCCTCAGCAGACCCTAAGGATCCCGGAAAATGGCCTGAGTTACCACCAATATGATTGTGTTTTTTTTCTGGTATGTGGTTTATGAAGGGGGGGCAGTTTTGACCAGTAACTGGGGGGGGCAGGGCCCAATTTAGCATATTCGAATGCCATATGAAAAGAAATGCAAAATATATGTCGAACAGGAGTCCGAAAGTTTTCAATGGAATGAAAATCGAAAAGTCAAACCCTTTGACGCTGCCACAATTGATAAACAGTGGTGCAATGACCGGTGCCTCTTGTGCAAGCGAAATCAATTCTGAAGAAGCGCCTGTGACATGGCAATGGAGTGCATGTTCGCCTGCTACCACAAAGTACGCAAAAGTCGTTTGTCAAAAACATAAACTGAATCACTGCAAGCACACAAGCACAAAAAAAAACTAGACCTCTTTATCCAAAGACAGAACGGTTTCCGCGCACATCAACATCGTTCTATTGAGCATCCCTAAGCCCAGCATGACCCAGGCCAGCCTTCCAAAAGAAGAATAGACACCACAGATGTTGCTGGCAAACCTGTGGCTAGGCTATCCTTGTGGGACGCAAAAAAAAAGGTCAAACAAAAAAATGTAAGTACTTCCAGTGGATTTGTTTTACAACCTTATCCAGGTAAAAGCGGATGTATCATTTCTCCTCCCGCCATGTGCCAGGGTGCAGGAAATATGCTGATTTCGTGTTAATTTGCACAAAGTTGACGAATGTTGATGATATTTCAATGCTACGCTGGGGTCCGCTCCATCTCCGCACATGCACGTGCAGTTGGTGAAGTTGCTGGGGTGGGGGGGTGGGGTAAGGTGAAACATTAACGATCACATTACTTAATTTGGAAAATCGAAAAATTGACACCATCCTCACTCCTCATGTCACTCCTGGCCCAAAATCCAAGTCATATTTCACCACCTGTCATGAAAAGGGACTTTACCATATTAGTTCTTTCCAGATGGCGTCGCGTGGGAATGAAACCACGCTCACCAAATATTCAAAAAATATTCAAAAATTACACCACATTCAAGATGTTGTTGAAGTTCGTTTGCCATGTGAATGTAATTTAAGGTTCTTGAATTCAAACAGCATGCAGGATTAACAAAAAACCGACGGACAAAATAGATGGCGGCAAAATAAAAATACAAAAAAAGATAGCGAACATGTTGTGTGATCTGTTTTCCAAAGTATGCGATGACATAGCACGCCTTGGTGCATTTAACGTTTCGACACCTGTGGTTCTGCTACCTCCACCGCAAGGAGCGTTCGACCTCGTCTGCGCTTCAAATGTTGCAAGCAGACTTGGCTGTAATGCCTGGCGACAAAGGAAACATCACAAGACTGGGAACTAAAGGTCAAACAGAAATCCGACACATCCAGCGGTTTCCCTTGATTCATCATGGAAAGTCACGGTTTTGTGACTGCCAAAACAATGTTACAAAATTTCCATCATCCTCAACAATGGCGTCACCCCAGCAACCATGGGTCGTCCACCATCATCACTTTTTACCCTCACCGGGTGAGAAACTCAACCTTTACATTTTCAGATTTTTCCAAAGCAGGTGGGAAAATAACACACATAAGTACACAGCAGGGACCGCTGCACTTTCATTGCAAGCTCCCAAAAATAGGTCTGAAATAAAGTTTCCCAGATCCACCTGTGATTTGAAGGGGGGGAAGTAAACCCAGGGACTTGCAACGGCGGGGTCTTAAATGAACCGACTGGAATGTTTTTTGCCGCCAACATAGAATAAACACCGGCAAACAGAAAATATGTCAGACCTTTAAGTGCGATCTCAGACACAAACATTTCAGACCTCGCACGGATTTATCCGCACCATATGTTCTCTGCACGGTCGGTGCCGGCTGTGTTCAACGCATTTTCGTATATTTTTTTGATTTTCCAACATGTTCATACATTTTCCATGTCTTGATGGATCCGCAATTAAATTGTTTCCTGTGAAATCCCAAGTTTTCAGTTCCTTGTTTCGACGTATCAAATCTGTACTACGTATGTTCATAATATCACAATTCTCAATGGGAAACTTTGTTTCAAACCCTGGGCCAATTCAAATAATTTAATAAGTTGTTTGGCGTGCTGGGTTTCAAGTATTTTTCAAAATTGTTTTTACCTTTCACTATGTTTACATTGAACAGGAAATTTGAACTCCTAACCTCCGCACACCCCAACATTAGAGTGGTGTTTTTGCCATGACGCAAAAACCTTATCTTTTTGGAGGGCCCTAGATACTACCTTACTGCCACAGTGGATAAGGTCTAAAATGAAAACACACCAAAAGAACCTAAACTCGGTTCAAACTCAACGCCCTAGTTGGTGCATCCAAGATGATAAGAGTCTACAATGTCCAAACCCAAACCCCACAGGTCTACAATGGTAATTGGAAAACTTTTTGGGGGCCCCCTCATTCCAGACCCCTGTAGTTAAAAAATGTTAAAAGTATGGAAAATTGTCATGAAACGAAAAAATGTTGGACTAAGTCGACAATTTCACGCCAAATTCTTTCAACAAAGACCCCATCAGCCAACACCTAAGCGCCGCGCACAGCCACCATAGTGTTCAACCGCCTCAACTGCGGACATCCAGTGGCACCGACCTCGAAAACAACACAGGAATGCTTTCATGAGGAGAAATCAAATTCACCCACAACCCACAAATGCTAAGAAATAACCAATATAAACAATAGAATTTGACGGTTGATGAATGTTGTTGATGACGCCGCTCCTGGCAATGATGATTGTGATCAGTGATAATGATGATGAAAGTGGCAACGGTTACATCCAACGACGGCTACAGCAGTAAGACAAAACCATCACTAACCACCAGTTCTTAATGACCAATTGAGAAACACCAGTTTGAAACCAACATGTAATAACCCCTTCCCCTTAATACTAATCCCGCCCCATCTAGTAATAAAAACCCAATTGATTTTTTACATTAGGGAGTATTTCCGGTATGTCCTATTTGGATGCGAAATTTCCCCTAAATATCAAATTATTGTTTTTTTAAGTCGATGTTGTTCTTAATCTAAGTAAATATTGACAAACATTGGATTTCGAAGGTTCCCCTGATGTTAAATTAGAAACTTTATTCAAAAATAAAAACGATTTCAAAACCGATTAAATTCCATCGCGAAATTTAAGTGCAATATTGCCAAAAAATCAAATTCCAAGGGTACCCTAATATTAATTAAATTTTCACAAGTTGTTTGTTAAAAAAAAATCAAAGACGGACCTGTTGCCCTCGAAATGAAAAACTGAAAAATAACAAAAGCTGCACCATACCCAGATGTGGTCAGACCAGCCAGCATTACATCCAGAGTTCTGTACAAAAAAATGTTCCCAACACCAAATAACAGCCGCTACACTTGTGTCGGCGCCTTGTGGGTTTACCTTAGAAATTTTGAACCTTGAAAAAATGTAGCATGCAATGCAAAAAAAAATGATCTTAAAAAACAAACATAAAACATCTGCAGAAAGAAAGTGCAAAAAAAAATGCGTTTCATAAATGCACAAAAAATGCAAATGCAAAAACGCAATGCAAAGCAAATATAAATCACAAATAAAATGTTGTAAATTCAAAAACGCAAATTGCCGAACATGCTTCTGGACACCCACTTGATTCACACTTAGGGGGCGTGCAGGATATGCAGTCTCCGTTGCCTGGTTTTCATGCATTCAGGTCCAGATTCTTGAATTTGCCTCACATGCAATATGTGCAAGAATGAGTTTCAGTTCGGTTTGGGTTTATGTCCCTGCATCAACACTTGAATGGGCACACAAATTTTCGGGAAAGGGTTGGTGGTTGGTTGGCACAGCCCCCCAGCCCAAGTCCCAAACTCGGCTTTTCGGAAGAGCGGGGTCCCATTTCCCAGGGGATGACTCTACCGAAGGCCCATTTTTTTGGGTTGTTTTGTTGTTATTTGTTGTTTTTTTTTTATTGCGTTTTTTGTTTTTGTTTTTTGCCTCAGTTTTTGCGGTTTCTTTCAAAAAGTATCCAATTTTGTTTGGAGGCAATTCGGATCGGGGACCTTCCCTTTCGGCTGGTCACCTGTCCACTTGGCAGGCGTGAGCCTCAACATTGGGCGTTTTTCTTCGGCTTCACGGGTTCACCTCGGACCTCTCTTTTCAAGTTTAATGTTTCCTTTGTCTTCTGCGCAGGTTTTGCTACCTTGTCCAGGCTAATTTTTTGTTTCCATGTGTGCTGCATTTGGCACTTTCCCTTTTCCCTGGTTGCATTTCATCGGTCTATATTCTTCACATATGATGTCGCCTCCTTCCCGCTTGCATTGGTTCCTTCCATGTATTCTTCGTTTGTCAAATGTGCCCCCTTCCAAGTTGCATTTGCTCTTTCTATCTTTCCTCCATTTGCAATTTTGCATCTTTTAAATTTGCATTTTGTTTCCCCATGTTTTCTGCAATTGTCATGTGTGCCCCTTTCAGATTTGCATTTTCCAATTCCTTTTTTTGCATTGTTTCTCAATTTTTTCAAGATGTAAACATCCTAGAACAAGCGCAATTCGACAGCACAACGCTACAGTACACCAAAGAACGAAGGAAAACGTAGAAGACGCACATCATATGCACAGGAGTGCCTATTTCCATGGTTGTTGTAATTAGCCAATTTATGTGACAAAACATGTTTCTGGGTCAACATGATGGAATGACGCATTTTGCACCGATAAGTTTCTACAAACAGACGACGTTACGCACAGAAACCTTTACACAAAGCAGTTTTTACGCGAGATATTCTTACACAGAGAGGTTTGTGCACAAAAAAAAAGGTACACAGACGCCTTTCCACACAGAAGTTTTTAAACAAAGAAGGAACTATTTATACACAGATGCTTTGTACAGAGGTGTTTTTGCGCGCATAAATGCAAGCACACAGGCATTTTTACGCACAGAACCTGTTCCTCAGAGAAACCTTTGCACAGAACAATTTTGCACAAAAAACATTTGACACAGAGAAATTTGTACACACAGACTGCGCACAGATTTTTTTACAGACCGACTTTAGTGCACGCAGAAAGTTTACCCAGAGCAATTTTTGCACAGCTGAACCTTTTTCGCACAGAAACATTTACGCACAAAAAAAATTACGCACTGCAGTTTTTACATGCAGACGGTTTTTACATGAAACGCCCCCCCAGCTCGAATCCCAGGATCAGCAACGAAATTGCCACTTTCATTCGGCTACTGGCAAGAGCATGAGCACGATCTGCTCCCGTGCATGCCCACGCGGCAACGGTCTCTGGACTTGTGCACCGTTGGTCTGCCCTTCTTTCCCATGCAGCCCACCATGCCTTTGCGCCCAGCCTGCTCACAGACAACCTCACAGCCACCAACAGGTGGGAGGCGCCCCCCATCAGCGACATCATCACCCACATCCCAGCTCCCCCCACACCCTCCCGGCTGGCATTCACCCTACCTGCTAGGGTTTGGATTTATGCCCGCCCATCGTTTTGCACATCTGGAGGCTGGCCAGTATAAAAACAGTCCTCGCCAGACCTCCTGCAAAAAAAACATGCTAAAAGCCTCGAAAATGAAAGGTTCGCCAATGAATAATTGGAAACTTTATTGAGCCCTGATTTAAAAACAGCACCCAAACAATTTTTTAAGGAGTACCATCTAATTATTTGGGAAACGTTGCATTTTCAAGGCTTTAACATAGATATAATATAGTTTTCTAAAGTGAATGGACCAACCCAAAGAAAGGCGGAAAAAAAGGTGCCTTTTTTTTTAATCCCAAAAGGTTGTGCACAATAGACTGCCATCGAAACAATTACATTATTGATGATTTCGGTCACTCATCAGTTACTCCTTGAAAAATTGTTTGGGTGCTGTTCGTAAATAAGGGTTTTAAAAAGGCATTAATTATTTGGGAAACCTTGTTTTGTCATGTTTTTTCAAGGTTTTAACATAGATATGTTTCTCTAAAGTAAATGGACCAACTTTACCCAAAGAAAGGCGGACAAAAAGGTTTTGTGTTTTTTACCCAAAAGTTTTTGTGCACAATAGACTGCCATCGAAACTATTGCATTATTGAGGATCTCGGTCACTCATGGGCCTTATCTAAACCCTTATTTAAAAACAACACCCAAACAATTTTTCAAGGGGGTACCCCATGAGCAACCGAGATCCTCAGTTATGTAATTGTTTCGATGGTAGTCCATTGTGCCAAAAAAAATTGAGGTGTTTTTTTGATTTGAAGGGAAAATCCATTGAAAGCAAATGGTTGTCAATCTTAATCAGTGCTTCCAACAACAAAATTGTAAATGTATGGGCGCTCTAGCTCAAAATCGTTTCCAATGGCACGTATGTTTCGGGAAATGAAGGGTAGTGACGATAATGACAATATTGAATGATATTGCATTTGCACTTCCGGAGTCGAACATCAATGTTCTCGACATGTCCACGGTGAAACTTCACAATGTCAGTGGTTATTCAATTCCAACAAACAATGCATTAACAGCGGTGTAAACAAGGGAAAAATTTTAACATTAACGCTTATGATACCATATGTTTCGTAAGCGTTTATTGCAATGGTCAATCGAAAAAAATATAGGATGATATTGTATAAAGGATTGGCAGTTCGTTGAAGACACATCAATTTTCCGGTGATGAACATTTGGTTGCTGATTGTTGATAATATTTCCCAAACAGTGCAAGCTAATGGGGTCTTCAGCGCAGAATAGCTCCGGTGCGCACTGGAGCAGGAGCCGGATCAGGTTCAACGAGGTTCCGGAAAAAGGCCCGAAGGTTCCGGAGAAGGTCTGGGATGCTTTGGTGCAGAGCCAGGTCACGTTCAACAGAGTTCTGGAGAAGGTTCCGGAGAAGGTTCCGGAGAATGTCTGGGAGACTTTGGTGTTGAGCCACGTCAGGTTCAACAGGTTTCCGGAGAAGGTTCCGGAAAAGGTTCTAGGAAGCCTTGGTGCAAAGCGAAGTCAAGCGCAACAAAGTTCCAGAGAAGGTTCCGGAGAAGGTCTGGGAGGCTTTGGTGTTGAGCCAGGTCAGGTTCAACAGGCTCCCGGAGAAGGTTCCGAAGAAGGTTCTAGGAAGCCTTGGTGCAAAGCTAAGTCAAGTTCAACAGGGTTCCGGAGAAGGTTCCGGAGAAGGATGGGGAGGTTTTGGTGCAGAGCCACGTGAAGTTCAACAGGGTTCCGGAGAAGGTTCCGGAGAAGGATGGGGAGACTTCTGTGCAAAGGCAGGTCGGATTCAACAGGGTTCCGGAGAAGGTTCCGGAGAATGTCTGGGAGACTTTGGTGTTGAGCCACGTCAGGTTCAACAGGTTTCCGGAGAAGGTTCCGGAAAAGGTTCTAAGAAGCCTTGGTGCAAAGCGAAGTCCAGCGCAACAAAGTTCCAGAGAAGGTTCCGGAGAAGGTCTGGGAGGCTTTGGTGTTGAGCCAGGTCAGGTTCAACAGGCTTCCGGAGAAGGTTCCGAAGAAGGTTCTAGGAAGCCTTGGTGCAAAGCGAAGTCAAGTTCAACAGGGTTCCGGAGAAGGTTCCGGAGAAGGATGGGGAAGTTTTGGTGCAGAGCCACGTGAAGTTCAACAGGGTTCCGGAGAAGGTTCCGGAGAAGGTTCCGGAGAAGGTTCCGGAGAAGGATGGGGAGGCTTCTGTGCAAAGGCAGGTCGGATTCAACAGGGTTCCGGAGAAGGTTCCGGTAAAGGTCTGGGAGATTTTGGTGCAGAGCCAGGTCAGGTTCCACAGGGTTCCGGAGAAGGTTCCGGAAAAGGTTCTAAGAAGCCTTGGTGCAAAGTGAAGTCAAACGCAACAAAGTTCCAGAGAAGGTTCCGGAGAAGGTCTGGGAGGCTTTGGTGTTGAGCCAGGTCAGGTTCAACAGGCTTCCGGAGAAGGTTCCGAAGAAGGTTCTAGGAAGCCTTGGTGCAAAGCTAAGTCAAGTTCAACAGGGTTCCGGAGAAGGTTCCGGAGAAGGATGGGGAGGTTTTGGTGCAGAGCCAGGTCAGGTTCAACAGGGTTCCGGAGAAGGTTCCGGAGAAGGTCTGGGAGGCTTTGGTGCAAAGCCAAAACAGGTTCAACAGGGTTCCGGAGAAGGTTCCGGAGAAGGTTCCGGAACGCTTTGGTGCAGGGCCATGTCAGGTTCAACAAGGTTCCCGAAGAAGGTTCCGGAGAAGGTCTGGAAGGCTTCGGTGCAGAGCCGGGTCAAGTTCAACAAGATTTGCGGCCATTTAACTCACGGAACCCCAACTGAGGTGCTTCCAGCGCTTGGCATGGCAGATGCTTCAGTAAAATTTGTAAAAATAAAACGTTGCGGCTGTTGGGGATACCTCCGAAGTTTATTTTGCGCGATTATTTTGAGATTTTTTTTGAATTAATATGAATTCCTGAAACATACTGAGGTTTGTTCAGCCTTGAAATGCCCTGAGGTCACTGAGGTCAGTTTTTGTCCGTCCATTGCCCCGAATCGATGATTCGATCTTCCAAGGTTCCAAGCTAAATCACGTATTTGTTGTCTATATTGACCTTGGTGCGGCACTGTTGCATATATAAACATGTGTGACCGGAAATTTAATGTCAGCATTTTGCACGGAAACGTGTAAAGTTACATCGCAACAATGTCGCCTTCATTGCGAATCTTCTTCGCCATGTACAAGACCTCACCAGCGCATTGTAGCATTGCGAATGGCATCGGTTTTGCACAACAACAAGCGACAAATCAACATGCCACCATGCTAAATGAACCAAGACATGTATCAAATGTGAAAAATGTGGAAAAATACAAACCTCGCTTGCTTTTCTGGAAAATCATCCGATGCTGCTTTCTACCAAAAGAGCATGTGTCACAGCAATTAGCGCGTCCAATTCCATGTGTTGTATGTGTTGGAGTGATCACATTTATTGGTTACCTTGCAGTTGTGACGGAGTTTTTCCGAACGTCGCATGCTACAAAAAAACTTGATGCAACTGGAAAGTTGATGCCAGCAGCGCCTACCAGAATGGCGTCACCACCCCCTCCATCGCCCTGTGAATTCGTAATGCCGAAACGTAACAATAGTGTAGAGTATTTCTTGGCATTCACACCTCACGAAGTTTTCCGAAACGGACCATAAAACTATATATATATCATGAATGAGTGCCTCTGAAAATGCCACGCCGCGGCAACGTTGAAACGAACTTGGTGCATTGATTGGTTGGGATGGTGACGCCGGCTGTGTCTAAAACCCCAACTGGGAGCAAAATGGTACTTGTTTCATGCATCTTCAATCATTTTTTTGAATATTTGTCACTAGTTCTTCATTTTTTGCGTATTTTCACCACGTTTTTTCTGCCGCGATGTTTGGTCTTGAGTAAATTCAAATATTTTGTGTTTGGGGTGGCAAGCCTATGCCAAATTAATTTAAACGTTTTGGGCAACAAAATGCTACGAACGCATCATTGAGCAACAGACATTTTGTTCATCTTCATACTGTTGTTGATATGTGAAATGTTGTTGTTTTGATGCGCATTTTTTTCAAACCTTTTTGGTAATCTGAGGATTGCAGCTGACGTCTCACTGGCAAAATGCCTGAAACAGCCTAATGGCTGAGCAAACGGCAAATAACACCAGCATCATTCACTTTTCCCGAACGTATCAAAGCACTGTTGTTTTTTTGGTTCTGCCCTGCCCCCCCCTCTGTTGGAGTGGTTTGTTTCCTCCAAGAAAAAAATAACTCACGATAGACTAAGATAAGCAAATGTCATGTTCAAATGGTTCATAGAATTTCCACGTGTCAAAAATTATGCAAAAACATTAACAAAATCAAACCACCAAACCCAACTGCCTATAAAATCACCAGCACTGAGGTTACCTAAAAACATGCATTCTGCACTACTGTACCCGCCCTAGTTTCTATAAAATCAGGGGGTTTAACCCACAGTTTTTTCCAGAAAGGTTTCGTTTTATAGTGAGGGATGACCCCTTAGATTTTTAGGGAAGTATGAGTGGTATATTAATATGATAAAAAAAATTATATACACGTTAGGTTTGTCTTACCATGTTCTACATTGAGGCGGGCCTACCACAAGGCGCGTTTCGGGCCTAAAACCGCTCCAAGTGCTGACAAAGAGTTTTCATGCGGAAATTCTTACTTCGGGTTTAGATCACCAAATATCACCAGATTACGTTGGTATCTTCGTTTATTTTTCATGTTTTGAATGTTTTTTTGTGGTTGATCAGTTGTTGCCCTCCGGTGTGTGGGTTCTGAAACCATGCTTGGTTTTTCTTGGTTGTACTGGACTCATAAATATTTGTGATGGGACCTCTACCAGCATGCGTTTCACGTCAAACTACTTTAACTAATGAAATGCGATTTATGATTTTGCCGTCTTGTCTCACGTATTTGAAACCTTGCAACCGCCAGTTCTCCGAGAATTCGGCACTAAATCACCCCACATCGGCGCACAAAAAACCGTTAAAATTCAGGGTTGGATTTTAGCACTCCCTTTCTTTCAAAGCTGATGCATCTGCAAGAGACAAAATAATTAGCAATTCGCCAATACGCTGTTTGGCTATTGGTGGGTGATGCAATTCGAAGTTTGTCCTCCTTGCCCCGGCAATATCAACAAAGCATTGACCTTAAGGAAAAACCGAACAAATATCTAGTTTTTATGGTTTCAATGTCAAGAGGGAAAAGGTTTTTAATGTTGACTTGGGAAGGTTTTGACGTCAGAAATGGTTCCCTGGGAAAGGGTTCATGCCTGGACATGTCTGCAGTTGTTTTTCGGGTTGAAAATTGTTTTAGGCTCTCTGGTTTGCGAATGTTTCGTTCTCCATTTCCAACAGCCAAACCGTATGGATCACAAAAGGTGCTCATTTTCCACGTTTTACGCATATTGTCGGCAAAATGTGCTACATTCCGCCTGGCCCTCATTCAGGAGCTGCATTAAGCCACCAACCCAGCGAGAAAACAGTGATAGAATGCATTAAAATCAGCAAACAAAAAAATGATGCATTTTTTCGACCAAAACTACGGTTTGAAAAAAACTAAGCGGCGTCATTTTTGCAACGTTTGTATGTTGAAATCCTTCTCGAAACCATCCAATGATATGTGTTTGTGTCTTCCACTTGTTTTCAACTGCGCAGTTTTTTGATAAAAAAAAATCGATTAATTACCTGCATTATCCTGCATTATCTTAATTTATTTTTGGTGTTCCTCAAACAGTGTGGCCACACGGAGGGGTTCCTATGGCAGGCGTTAGGATTTAGGAAATTGCGCTGTTCGTTTGAGGTGGAACCATATGTGTGTCGGATTGTGACAACTTTCACGGCCCAAAAAAAAACATTTTCAACGCAAGTCTCGCACGAAACGGTTGCCCGCGGACCTCTCTTCCGAAAATTTTGGCATTGATGATGCGATTGTTGTTTTGGAAAATGTCTGTGGCAATTGTTTGGCGTGGGAATCTGAAATGTGGTTTGCCTAGCCTTGATCTACGGAAAGCGTTCGACCGTTTAGAATATGATTCGTTGGTTCAAGCACTGCACTCACGAGGAGTTCCAGACACGTACCCGCAAGTGCTACGCCGGTTGTACACGGATCAATTGGAAATGTTGGCGGTAGCCACTCTATTTATTTTTGAAAATGACACATGGGGTGAAACAAGTTTTTGTTTCACTCCCTATGCTGATCAATTCCGGGTTGGAACATGCTGGAACCAATCTTTGAGATCACATGGCTTACACATTGGTGCGTCCAACAGTCTCACGATGTCTCACGTATGTCTGCTTTGCAATTATGCAAACGAGTTTTTGTCATTTGCGAAGTCGTGGAAAGAATTGGTGGAAATGTTGGAATTCATGGGTGGCCTCGACCCATTTTCGCGTGGTGTCCGCAGAGCAACTCGGAAAACAACTTTCGTAAGTCACCGAAACAAAAACCTGGCAGACCTCTCAAGAAATGGCAGGACAAATTTGCTATATAAATTTTGTGAAAGGGACTTCGGACGTTCAATTCGGGTCGTGGATGGAGGCAGCAAGAACTCCTGAGTGGTTTCCCCCCGGCGTAGTGCAGTCATTTTGTCACTTTTATGTCAACCGTTAAAACACCGCTGATATTCAGCCCCATGTTCTTCCAGGACCGTAGTTTCCAACTCGAACGGGCGCAAAGCAAAGCAAACAGTTGGAATTCATGGCTCCAGAACTCAACCGCGCAAATTTGCATTTGAACACTTCTAAAACAAAATTGCTCACAGTTTTCTAGTTGGTGGATCCTTGATACTTTAAACATTGATTTGTTGGCCGTGCTGTGGGGCGAAGAAAAAAACCAGTATCTCGGCCGCACCATTTCCAGACATTTGAAGCGTCGTGGTCCTGCCTTACGGCACACCCATTTGACATACAAACACATTGCCTTGCATTTCCGTTTGTTTTTTTTTGACGGTGAAAATTGATCCGATACCATGTCCCGGATGAACCGGATATTTTTTTTGCAATGCCCAAAACCATGGTCCTGCCAAATATTCAGACAGCAGTGTCGCATCGCAACCAAAATATTCAATCGGCACCATTGCTAGGCTGCAGCAACCAGCAGGTGGAATCCAACCAGTAAGTGGCAGCAAAACTTTTCCCCTGAAGGCGAACGTCCGCAAGGTCGTCCATCAGAACAATGGGATGAATAATGACAATGTAAAAAATTCTTTACTTCGTGTGATCCCCACCAAAACATTTATACATTTTGTTACTGGCAAATCTTCTGGCATTCTATCTGAAATATTTTATATTTTCTGGCATTCTATCTGGCATATCTTCTGGCATATTATCTACTCAAATCTTCTGGCATTCTATCTGGCAAACATTCTGGCACTTTATCTGGCATATCTTCTGGCATTCTATCTGAAAATTTATCTGGCAATATCTGGCATACCTCCTGGCACTCTATTTGGCATATCTTATGGCATTTTATCTGGCATATCTTCTCGCATTCTATCTGACATTCTATCTGGCATATCTTCTGGCATTCTATCTGGCTTTTGAAGTCCAGCGGCGCGTGCTGAACTCGGAAGGCCCCAGGTTGAGGTCCAGTTGTGCACTGAACTCGGCAGGTCCGAGGTTGAGGTCCAGCGGTGCAGTGCTCGGCAGGTCCCAGGTTGAGGTCCAGCGGTGCGCACTGAGCTGGGAAGGTCCCAGGTTGAGGTCCAGCGGTGCGCACTGAGCTGGGAAGGTCCCAGGTTGAGGTCCAGCAGTGAGCACTGAGCTGGGAAGTTCCCAGGTTGAGGCCCAGCAGTGCGCACTGAGCTTGGAAGTTGGCGAAGAACTTCGCGAAGAGTTGGCAAGGCGGAAGTGGAGGTGGAAGTTGATGCAGACATGGTCGAGGAGAAACTGGCGGAGGAGGCGGGGGAAGAGAAGGAGAAGGAGGAGGCGGAGGCGGAGGAGGAGAACAACTCCTGATAAAATCTAACAACCCTCACCTGGCAGGTGGGGAAAAATGCGATCCATTATTATCGGCCGTTGTGGGCATCAGCCGCACGGGTCCAGCCAGAAGTTTTGCAGCAATATGTGAACCATGAACCCCACCCGCATCCTTGTAGGATCTTGTAGGATCAAGGCGAGTCGGTTGGGCGAACGAACGAACGAACCCCGTCTGGGCTGGCAGGCGTTGCACTGTCGGAACA